CACCAGTGCTTCTCACATTGAAACCGTCAGTAGAGCAGAACCAATGGCAGCACCAGTGAGATATTTTGGAGGGAAGAGGGGGGGAACAAAGCAATCAAGCGTAAACAAGCCCTGCTGAATTACTCCACTGACTTTGCATTATTTAAAGGGAAGTGCTGTTAGTACAGAAGCCAGCTGTTTAACTGTTGGAATCCTGTACCTTGGCCTGCTTTCAGGGGACTTCAGAACAGTGTGACTAGACTTTGTATCTGCTTGTAGCACATGGAAAGAAACATTCACATATTTGGTAAAGTAGATTAAATAAGAGCCAAAAATTCTAATAAGTAAACTTTGACCTACATGATATGAAACCTTTTTTGAGCTAGCAGCTGACAAAAAAGGAAAGAAACCTCCAAGGAAATCAGTGTACGTCAGCAAAAAGGAATGCCTAGGACTGTTATATGTCCACAGGCAGCACTTTGAAGGTTGAGTAAATATAAGGAACTTTTTGATAACAGCTGGAAGGCAGCACTCAAATTGTGTCCGAAAGATGAGAAAGAACTATATGGGTGCCCAGTATACTGCCACAGCAGGATCAGTCAGTATTTTAAGGCAATATCATAAAAAAAATTAAGGAAGAGAAAACTGGTGTTAAATGTGCAGAACCACCAGCCATTTATTTACTAATATGGATTTTGGTCTACAAATTAACTTAAGTGTTGAGTTACGTCAGTCCCTATGTAGGAGAGCACTCAGGCATGTGCTTACTGTTGATTATGTGCTTTAGTTCAACAGACCGTGTAGGAGCCTGAACATTTGCCTAGATCTGAGTGCATACTTTGATAACTTGATGAACTGGGACCATTCGATCCTGCAGTTCTTCCAGAAGAAGATGGGTCAAATACTGATAATACCTGTAGAAAAATAGTATCTCCTTGTAATTCTTTATCTCATCTTTGTCTTTTGTATACTGCAGCACTTAAGAGGACAGCAGCAATTTAAAATCTACTGGTTTAAAACTAATTTAGACATCAGATACTTCTCAAAAGTAGAGTCCAGAATCATGATTACTGAAAAAGAATAATTTTTCCTATTTTTTTCTATTTAATTGCTCTATCTGTTGTACAGCACTTTAGGTAGTATCACTTTCTATTTTATACGAATTTTAAGTATACTTGATTGCTTAGATCTTTCAAAAACCTTGGGAAAACTCTTTTTTTTAAAAAAAAAAACAAACCACATTTGACTTCACAACGCTAATGTTATCTTTTTATGAAGGATAAGCATTTAGTATGCCATGTAATACATGAATATCTAAGTCTATAAATAAATGTCAAGTTTCATTGCTGACCACATCACTGATGTGTTAGTGATTCCATTCCAAACTTGTTACATGTACCATACAGGCTTTTTAAAGAGCTATAAGATATTATATCCTCCTTCATAAAGTTGTTATTCTGTCAGAAAGAAAAACAACTCATAGATGTCTTTGATCTGGCTACAGTAAAAATAATTTTGAAGTACACTGAGAATTTCACCTGAAAGACTCCAGGATTCAGGATTTGTATTAACTATTTATACATATGATAGTGCGGGAGAAATGTTGCTACTGATTACTAAATAAGGCAGGCAATGCTTCATGGATTATTCAAGGTATTTTATCAACTTTATATATGGTTAAATTCAGACACTGAAGGATAAAATAACTTCCATGTAATTGCACAACAAGATAGTAGCTAGATGAGAATAAAACTCAAAATTGACAACTTCCAGCTAACAAAAAAATTGTATAAGTTCCTGCTTGACTTATTGGGAAGGCATCGTAAGCAAATAAATGAATAATATTATTAAAAGTTAGAGTATATGGCTCTGGTTCCTCTATTTTATGTACCGTCAAAGAAAAATCAAACGTATCCCTGTTGAAATGACTGTGTTTACCAAAAAGTCATAAAATTCGTACAAGAAATGATACTGACAAACTGGTCGAACGCTATATAACCCATTGCATGTCGCTCTTTTATCTTATGTCTTGAATAAAAAATAATTGAGGAAAGAAAGCATCAGATTATATAATTGTGCTAAATTTAAAATGGCAAAATACAAGCAATGTTGTATAATTAAGGCTCAACACAGACAAATTGGAAATAACTATTGATTGTTAAAGGAGATGAAAGATTTTTTTTAAAAAAAATCACCTCTACCAACCAGTTCATCTTTGGCTTTAATCATGACAAAAATAAATGTTAACCATATTAAACAAAAAAAATTTTGAGACCTTGCAAACTTTACATTTCATTTGACTATTTCCTTTATAACCCCTTCATATACAAATGGATCCCATGAAAAATGCTGCTATCAGTCATTAGACATTTATGATCTTGCTACTCATGGAAGGAAGATTTCTTCTATCAAGTTCTGTTGTTAACTCATGGAAGTTCCTGGCCAACACATTTCATCTTATTGATTCTAAATTTTGTCACCTAGAGGTAATATCATCTACCTAGCATGAATGTCATAAGGAGCTAACATTTGTAAGGTTCTTAGAAGTGCGAAATATTACTAATCCTGAAATCTTCTATTGGATTGATAGAATTTTTTTTAATAGGTAACTTCTTTTCTAGGTAGAAAGGTCATGATAAGCCAGATGAAACTAACCAATGAACTGTCCATCCTTATTTTTACTATTAGCAGTAGCCAGGGAATCAACCAAACCTCTATGCTGTTAGCTGCTATGAAATACCATTTAAGGGAAAATTCTTGAACAGAAGCTTTTAGAGTATGTTTGCTTATGAAAAATTGGCAGACCAAGAAAAGAAAGGTAAGCTGAACTAATCAACTGTTTGTACCTACAGTTCAGCTAGATCTATTAGGAAGAGTTACACCTGCATATCCAGGAACAGAATTTGCCCTTCCATGTTTTATGGGAGCAAGAAAAAATGTGGAACAGCTCTGGATATCCCACACAGTAATGACACTCCACATTTTATCATGACTGCTAAGATTTAAAAGTATTAGGCTAAGACAACCTGATTAACACACTTCAGAAAAATCTCCAGGGAAAAGCTTGTACTTTATATTGTAACTCACTGAGTGAAAATAGTCTGGGGAAAAAAAAAAAAACCTCTGTGTCTTAATATTTATAATACTTTTCAGTGATACACAGAAAACAACACACACACACAGAGACAAATCAAAATATTACTGTAATCTACTCCTGGCTTGCTGTTCTGTTTAGTCTTATGAAACAAATAATTTAGCAGGCAATGTACAGTATAGAGGCCCTCAGTGGATTGCAATATACTAAGTAAGCATGTTTGTCTTTTTGTTTAATTTATAGTCCCTGGAAAAGAAGACATTTAAAAACCTTTTGTCTGGGTTTACAAAGCTCATAGGGATAGTTAGTTCTTAGCTGACTGTATTGCTGGCTAAAATGTTAGACATACTTTGTCACTAGAGGTCTTTTCATTTACGGGTGTACTAAGGCCTCAAGGGTTCTTCATCAGTGGACATATGTTTTAATCACAGAGAATTGCAAAATGCAGTGTTGTCTTCAAATTGACAACTGCAGGACAAGTATATGGATATTAACCTAGAAATTGCTGTATAAGCATTGGAGGCAATAATTTCCCAAAAAGAAACTGAATTTTCATCTTTCTTGATACCTTATCCTTTATCTAGCTTGAGTAATTTCTTAAAACGCAAACTCCTGCCAAATTCCGTGAATAACAGATTTTTGGTCTCAGTGATAAAACTGAAGGGGAAAAAAAAGGCAGGGGAAAAAAAAGGCAAGGGAAAAAAAAAAAAGAGCTGACTGAATTGAGTTGCTTCATTTTTTGGCTCTTTCTTTTCCTTTTTCCATATTTTTGGGTTCTTAACCAATGCGGATCATTCTGTAAATGGAAACATTTAATACTGGAAATGTCAAAACAAAACATTTAATCTTTTCAGAAGATTAAGATCTTTTACTGTCTGAAACCAAATTCTATCGGAATTTTAAAATAGATGTAGTAAGTAAGGAACTACTTGTTTTTGTGATTTTACTCTTCCTTCGTTTCTAGTTAGCCATAACAGGGCAACTGCACATACAACTGGGTTGCATACAAACAAGCCCAGGAAATAATGGGTCTGTAATCTTTGCATAGTATAGCAGAGAAATGAACAGTTACTAAAGAAATCATAAATCCCTGGAAAAAAAAGAGAAAAGCGTAAGAGTTCTATGAATGAAAATATCACCCTTTACTGGAGCTGAGTGAAAAATGTAAAACATTTGCCAGTCAAGTAGTTTCTACATATGCCCAATGCAAACAAAAAACACAGGAAAGAACCATGTTATGTCAGTCCCATTTCCTATCTTGTGCAAATCTATAGAATATAAAATCTTCTGCTTTTATCTGTTCCACCAACCATCTTCCTATTTTTGCTGCATTTCATTGGTTACTTTGTTACCTTATTTCCTGCTACCCACTAGTTTTTGAGCTTGCAGATCTTACAGCCTGTGCAGTGGTATACAGTATTTATTTCCCCTTTGGAACACCCTCTGGCTTCACATAGTGGCTCAGCGTAGCCTTTTTCATTAGAAAATACTTGCCTACAACACAGGCATGATCTATGATCTTTAAACACCAGCTACCTCAGTCAGCTCAACAATCAGTTTTCATCCAAAAGCTAAAGGGTTAATTTCCTTTGCAAGGCTTCTAAATGCCAAATTTCAACTTCCTCCCTCTCCATTTTCAATGCCAAGACAGTTCAAGAAAATCTTTTAATAATACTTTTCTAAGAAGACATAATTTTGCTCAAATGCGTAAATAGCAACCACCCATAGACAGAGATCAAAGCTGGCCATTTCCAGGAATATCTTTCGAAGCTGTATATGAGAACAGGGTCTTAGAATAGATACACACAGGCAGCCTCTACAATTGTCATCGGTGATTTAGTTAAAATAATGCAATTTAGTATGATTGCTGCTGAGATCTTTGCATTTTCTTTCTAACATAAAAACTTTCCATTTGTGTTTTGAATAGGTAAGCCTACAGGGTATGGATCCAGCAGTAGACGCTTACACCACAAGGGAATAGTGGATGAATGCTGCTTCCAGAGTTGTGACCTGAGGAGGCTGGAGATGTATTGTGCTCCAATAAAGCCACCTAAATCTGCACGCTCTGTACGTGCTCAGCGCCACACTGATATGCCAAAAGCACAAAAGGTAGGCCAGGCTGGAAAAACAAAAACAAAACCAAACAAAAAAAACACCCTACCTATTTTAGGGAAGGAAAATTCTGTCAAGGCTGGTAACATAGCAAACAACTGATGTGTTCTGCCTATTAGGCACACTGAGATTTAGTGGGGGTTTGGAAAATAGTGTCCATGGTAGGAAATAAATAGGAATGGTGTGTTCTATCTCATCTCTTAGAACACTGAGTAAAAGATGGAATTGCTAAGCTAGTAGTTGTGAGGCTTTATCCTGCCACTGGGTAGTAAATGACAAGTACTTACATCATCCAATCATAAATAGCACCTAAGACTTCTTTCAGAAGAGAAACCGAACACTGAATGTTTAACAACTGATCTATACAGATCCTCCTCACTCATCCTTCCTTGTCAGGAAGAGGTAGAGTGAGTGATCAAGAGGGAAAACACAGCTCTTCTGCTATTCATTTTACATGTAAATGAACAAATTACTTTTTACTTTCCTCATTATTTTGGCTTTTTAAAAATTTATTTATCAGAACTAAATTAACTGGATAGTCACTGCAATCATTACATACTTCATTTTAACTATTTAATGTTTAATATGTATATTTTCCAAGCACTTCAAATATTCATTGGTATTATTTGTATAATTGTGAAGCTCAGAGTCTCCAGATTTTTGTTCCTGTCATACTAGGTATACTGTACATATATGTAGTTAAATCTCATGTCTCCTCAACTGAGCCTACAGTTCAGAAAACTCATCTTAGGCTAGGCTACCATTAAGCTCATGTCCAACTACTCTCCTGCTTGAGTTCTGAACATCTGTTTTACATGTTATCTGTCATCTGCTGTAAGCCTCTAGTGATATATTTTATTGCCGTTGACCCTGTCTGTCCTACACATATGTTGGCTCCACTCCTGCAGTTATCTGAAAATTTTTTTCTTCTAAGAAATGGAACTTCTTGAAATCCTAAGATTTTACAGGAAATCAGGAAACCAGCACAATATACTAATTTCTTAATATCATCTTTATGAAAAGAACAATTGTAATTGTTCCAGCATCCATTTCTTTTCCATAAGTCAATCCATAGAATGGAATCCTTTCACCTCTTCCTCAAGAGTTTTCAACATTTTAAAGTAATGGCTGTATGATTATTCCTGGGAAGTATCACCTTAGCCATGAACATCTCAAAAAGCACATATGACAATAAGTGAAGTCTTCTTCATGTAAAGCTCAACTATAGACAAGAAAACCCTATGGTTTATTCCTGTCTGGGCACACGTATATTTAAGGCTTGCGGGAAAAGAAGAAAACAGGCTTGGCCAGTAATCTGTGTGCTCGTTCCCATACTTGTTGCTAAGGTGATGGGTAAAACATTCTGTAACTTCAAGTAAAAGGAGACAAGATACCTGCCAGCATTCTGATGGATCTCCACACCACTTTCCTTGGAGGGCTAAGGAATGATGTCATTCTTCAGGCAGCTGTCCTTTTCCCAGTTCAAAAGATAGACAGGAAAACACTTTTCTTGCAAACAGGAAGGAAGAGAAGAAAGGCCTTGCATCTTTCTGCAGCAACAGGGGAGGTAGTGTGCAAGAGGGGATACTGGAAAAAGAAAAAAAATTAGAAGGAGTATGTAGTAATTGACAGAACCTAGCTGCAGAAGAAATCATCCAGGAAATTAAAAGGAGAAAAAAATCAAGAGGTGCAAAGGGCAGTAAAAGGACAACGAAGAGCAGAGGAAAAGAAAGGAGAGGGAATTAGACAAAGAGGCTGAGAAGATGAGAAATATTTAAGATCTGAATGAATCATGGTGCATCACACAGAAAAGACAGAATTTTGAGAAAAGGGGAGAGAAAATAAAATTAGAGAAAAATTAATATTAAAGAAAAAACACCTTTAAAGAAAACGTATGGGAAAAGGAGGAGGGAGGTGAATAGAAGCAGAAAAATCATAAATGCTTCTTGATGGGAACTTGGTGATAAAATAACAGAAATGTGATGGGAAAAACAAACAGAAATTTTCATTAATATCTGTGGATGGAGAAAATTAGATTGAGGAAACAAAAATACAGGAGGGGTAGGAGAAACTATTATTCAGATTTATGATAGGTGAAAGGAAAATACAGGGAAGGGAAGGGAAGCGAAACAGAATTCATTAAGAAAAACTCTATGTGAAAAAGCTCTGGTACATATTATCATGTAATTATTTTTTCTTTCTCTTTTCTTTTTGCAGTCAGCTGTACATGCCTCCATTAAGAAAGATAATGCTATGTTCATATTTTCTTCTTTGGATAGGCTCCCCCAATATGAATGCATTTAGCTAATTCATAGTGTTGATATGTCACTGATTTTAATTAAAAAATTGATTATACTAAAGTCAAATTATTTTTCATTTTAACAATTTTTTTTCTGCTTTAGAATTTTTTTCCCTCTTAATATTATGTTATATATGAGATACATATACATCTAAAGTGAATATATATATGTAAGACAATCTATATGACCTCTTTAATGTTTTCTTATTTAGATACAAGATTTAACGCAGGATTAAGTGGAATATATAAGATGTTGTGTAGTTCAACTCAGATTTCAGACACTATCAGTTTCTTATGCCTTTCATACTTCTAATGTAGTTTTTATTTGGCATCTCCTCATAACCTTTTTAATAGACAAATCCAGGATTTGTGTTTTGGTTTAAGTGTTTTTGTAAGTGGTCTACTTACCCAATGCCTTGAGCAGATTGTTCGTCCTATGCACTATTTGGTAGAATAACTCACTTCAATGGAGCAGGGCTGTTCTTCTGCTTATAGGTTATGTTAATGCTGATCTTTAGTCATTACACTACAAACAAGTGTTTTTACTATACACACAAACCTGAATAATGAGTGTGGGCTGGGAACCCCAAAATGCCTATTTGCAGCTATAAGGCTAACATCAAGAACTAGTTTTAATCCAATTACAGAGATTGTATGTGTAGAGTTTTGTTTGTTTGTAGCTAACGAACAAAATATTTATTTCTCTATAGGATCATTATTTGTCCCATTCTAAGACCTTCACTCACAAATCAATATAAAAAGTATATTGAAAAGTAAAAAATAAACACATTATTATGATATACTTTGGGGTATTACAGCATACTTCACAGATTCACAAAAAAAGAAATTAAGAAAGGCGGCCATTAGAAGCACTTTGTTATTGCCTCAGCTGCTGTACACAATGGAGCACATACCCAACCTTAACTCTATCCTAATTTAGATGCCCAGCTTTCACCACCTCTTTGGCACTCAGCCCATGACAAAATTACCTTAAACTGGAGCAGCCAACGAATGCAACAAACACGCAAAATAGCTTGCAGAGAGAAATGAGGTATGCATCGGAGCACAATGTGATAGCTACAGGCTAACCACCCTAAAGTCTCTAGTGAACAGATGGGATAACTCCGAGTATCTTTCCAGCTGGATTTAAGCACTGTGGGCCTTGAGTAAGTTGTGAACTATAGTAACATGTAGTTGCTATTGGTGCCCAGCAGTCAAACATCCTTCTCAGACATCTGTCTAAAGGATACAAAACTCTCACCAGAGTGTGTCCTCCCTACTTAAAAAGAAGTATCTCCCCTACTTCCTGAAATACTTTATATTTTTTGAGTTGAAGCCTACAGAGGTTACCTAACCTGTCTGGGTCAGCAACTCTATCTGGGATGAAAAAAATGTTTATACTTTGAGAGGCTTCTGGAGCATTCAGATTGCTTTCTCCAGTGTGAAACAATAAATATATCCAAGCTGGGGTACAGGAAATATACAGTGAAGTGGCAGTTCTGTTTTCAAATGCTCAAATCTGGCATAGAAGAAAAGTCGTCTTCTTGGTGACAACTCAACAATGGTTGGTCAATGAGAAAATGCTTTAGTTTTATACAAATAGGTTTTTTCAATAGCCTCTACATGTTGCTGTAACAATCATACAAACCCAACATAGCTGGCTAAGATTTAGTAAGCCATTTACTTTATATCTTTTGTTTCTGTTCCTCTGAACTTGATCTGCAAAGGTAAATTATTCCTTTCAAATAGAGTGAGATCTATCTGTATAATCTACATTCACTCAGTCTGTGTTCTGCAATATATTGCCCTGATCATTCAGATTCCTCAGTACAAGAGCAGCTGACCAGAAATATAGAAATGGCATAAAATATGCAAGAACTACAGGTAATGCAATTGGTTTTCTCTAGTAGACTTCCTAAGGAAAGCTAGGTGATTACATTTCCAGTTTAGTGTTCAGATTGATGAAATAAAAAAAAAAAAATCAGGACAACTGTTCTGGACTACTTAGGTAGGGGAATAGAATTATTTTAGATCCCATTGCAACCAAGGGTGATAAAGATTGGTTTTCTTTTTTCAGTTTATTTAATTTACTTCAATGTATATACCTTTCTATTATCAATATTTATATTATTAACATTAATTAGTTCTCTATATATCTTCACTACACTTAATGAAAAAAACAATGTTTTGAAAAGGGCAAGTCAGAAGTTTCTCTTTGGAACTGCTGGAATTGAATATTTTGGTATTTCCAACGCAAAACATTTTAATCTCAAAAAGTCAAAATAAAGCACTTTTTGATTTCTTGCAGCTCTACCTTTTTTGTGGTGAAACTGATCTTCATTAAGCTGTTTGCAGTCTTCTCAAAACTTCAAATTTCAAGGAATTTAATATTACTCAAAATCCCCTTACTTTGCTTCTGACCATCTTAATTAAGCTACTGAAATTTAGTACTTCACTTTTTTGCATTAATTATAATACAATTCAAAACAAGAGGCCAGTAAAAAAAACAGTTAAAATACAGTAAAAATTAAACTTGATTAAAACACTTGTACATTTAAACAAATAGGTCATTTTTTACAGGATCACAACCCAGCAAATATTCCTATTAGCCTTGCAGCAATTTACTTTTGTAATAAATTTCATTTGAAAACTCATGAGAAATAATATTTTTTTAAGAATAAGGAAAACCTAAACATTTGATCAAATAATCCAACCAACCTGCATGATCTGTTGTTCACTCATTTAATCATCACTTATCAATTATGCTCTTTGAAAGCCTGTTTTGTTTACTTGCTTGCTATTTGAATGCTCTATTGAAAGCAGTAGAATTCTTGCTGTTAAAAAATGAGAGATACTTAGATATTCATCTTGCCAGAACTGATAAAAAATAGGACGTGGTCAACTGCATAGTACAAATCCATTATAAAATTCTACCTCAACTGCTGTTAGTTATGTATATAAGCAGAGATTATTAAAAAGGACACATCTTAATCATATGTCAGCATTTCTAAACCCAAGAAAGATGTCCCTGAATTTTTAACAAAGAGAACAGGTGTGAAAACAAAGCACATTATATATCAAGATTTTTTTTTAACCTAAAATTATGAGAATAATTGTTGACATTGTTTTCAGATTAAAATCTCATTTAATGAGCAAATACATCAGCTAGTAAGGTAGGAGTAAGCAACAGGGAGAAGCGTTCAGTATTTTTGCTGGAAAGCAAAGTAATGGTTTCACCTATTTTTACAGTTTTTAGAGTTCTAAACTGCAAAACAGGAGCAAGAAGGGGAATTAAAGTTCTGTCTTCAGTGTACATGGTTCCATCTAGCTTTTCTTTCACTCATTTCTTTCTTTTCTGAGAAATGTTAATAGAAGTTTAGTTTATTTACCCTTAAGTGAATTAAGTTTTAACAGCAATTTGGAAAACTAGTGAATAGAACTTTGAAAAACTACTGTTCTCTGTTCAAGCAAAGGAAATTGAGCTATTTCCACAACAATTGTGTACGTGAGGGAAGACTGTGACCTTTTTGAATGAAGCAGTGTCACAGAACCAGTGGCACAAAGTTCTTATCAATTTAAGGCTATAAGGTACCTTGAAAATTACTACGTGAAAGTGAACACTGGTAAGGCTGTTTTTAAAATCCAGTAAATAAAGAAGAGGGAAAGCAAAAAAACATAATGTCATGCCATCCCCTTGCACTCTGAGCAGAAGGACCAAAGAGGTACATCTTGATATATTTTCACTCTTCCTCAGATTTTTAGTCCTTCTTTAGGCCTCATATGCGGAAAACGCACATAAATATATTTACCAATGAAGTATCAATAGGAAGCGGATTCTCTCAAAAATCCTTTTCAAATTTTATCTAATCTTCAAAATTTAAATAAATACTAAGTGGGACTAAGAGAGAGAGCGAAAAGATGTTAATATTTTTAGTTTAAGAAAATGTCATTAAAAAAACAGAAAAAGTATCGCATTATTTCTCATTAATCTTTCTAAGATTGACAGATTCTTTTGTACTTGGCTCAGTATCAACTCACAGATACATTTACAGGCCAAAATATGCACAATGGCACTAATCCTAATTTCTATTACAGCCATGCCACATTACCAAGCCAATGAGGGAACGTTTAGGTGTAACAGATAGAAAAACTTGGCTTCTTCACTTCAGAAGATTTTTTTCTCCCATTGCTTACTTTCCAGCCTTGTTATTATGTTACTGATCACACTGCCCACAGAACTAAAAAACTTTCAAAGAGACCCCAGAGAGTTCGTAGCTAAGATATCATGCCTGTTACTACAAACATTAGATGTTCCATTTATTACCAATAAAGCCAGAGATCTTTTAATGCCAATATGAGGTTTGAATGTCCATCCTAACAGGATAAGAATGCTGCTGCATGCTTTCCAATATCTTTCCATCCTAGTTAAATGACCTTTACTATCACAGAGGTAGTTGTTATCCTTATGTTAATGCTGCCCTGTCTCCAAAGATCCACGCTTAATGTGATAGGTTAGAAGTCTGCGCTTCTCTATTCATGAACTGACTTATGCAAAGTTGACATTTTGCATCTGTCATCTTAAAATGCTTATTGTCTTTGTCTGGGTCTGAATATCAGCTCAGACAATCTGATAATGAAACAAGCATCACAGACAACCATTTTATTTCTAATTACCTTCTTTTCCAAAGACTTGAGAAATAAGGCAAGCTTTTCTATACCAGTGCAAACGCACGTCTGAGAATCTGATTCAGGCATTCACGCTTTTTTTTTTCAATGGTCTCAACATTGCATACTCGAAAAAATGTGTTATGTGGGTCAAAGCATTTTCTGGCATGCATGTTACTGCTGCCATCACCAGTGCCACTGCTTTGTAGTTATTCATCAAAACACTGATTCCAGAGGAGAAACTGTTCTAAAAGTAACCTGCCATCTTCCCTCAGTTTCAGAGCTAGCCTGTGTATTATGACAGCTGTTTTTCCACCTACATGTCAGTATTAAAAGCTATAACTGAAACCCTGCTGCATCTTAGTATTTGCTTTATTTGGATAATAAAGCCATTTTAAAGTCAGACAACAACAGTAGTGGAGAAAATTTATATTTTCACTTGGGAAACATATAGTTAATTTTCAATCTAAGTATACCTTCAAAGCCACTGCAATGCAAAATGGCTGTTGTTTCATAACAAGGCTCTCACTGTCCATTTTATAGATCATGAATATGCAGCCTTTAAGAATGTGTGACTTTCTGCAAATAAAAAGTAGCATATAACTTTTCCTATATGCTGGTATACTCTCTTCAAGGAGGAGAATCTAGGGGCAGCATTGATAAGGATATTTTGCTTTGTTGCCATGAGGAAAAAAACAGGTTTAGATGAGTCAAGGAATTCCTGTTTTCTTAGTTCATTGTTACCAGTATAAGCGTTTGTAGCATAAGGCAGGATCCTTAACAGTGGCAGACTCCTGTGAAGTGCTGCAATGGTGATTTTAGTGAAAATCAGTGAAAATTGAAGGGTTCATGAGAGTGAGTACTTCAGGGTGAAAACTAAGGTACAACTTAGGGAAAACTAAAGACAGAAAAGGTAGTTTTGGAAAAGCTGGAAGACAAACAGGCAATGAAACAGCAAAGATTATTTTAATTTATGGATAAGCAGAATTCTGTTGACATTTCTGTTTCTGTATTTGATCCATTCTAAGGAAGCTATTCTATAGTGGTATTAGCAAAATTTGGTGAAGACAAGCCAGTATCCTACTGAACTGATCATGGGAATAGTGACTAGATGATTAATCACTTCTTCCTCATTTAGTATTATATTTCGGACTAAGAATGTCTAGAATGGCAGATTCCTAACAAAGACATTTCTTCGTTATGAATGCTTTGCTATTAACAAATTTGGCTTGTCAGTGATGATAAATCTTAGTTTGGCTCAATGTTCTTACTTGTTGGTGGTATAATTAATTTAACAATTACTACTACTGCTTGGGTTTTTTTATATTCTGAAAATAATCATTCGACTCATATCCATCAGAACCCAGTCCAAAACAAGTGAAAATTAATAAGCTCTATGTGAGCCCAAGTTTTGTGATCCTTTGCCAGTTTCTGATTTATTTTATATTTAATAGATACTGGAGGCAAACAGAAAAGTTATATATAGAATAGTATTTTATATAGGAAAGCATTAAAAAAACCCCCACAAAACTACTGTAATGCACAAAATCAGTTTCCATTTTCTTTCTGTCCATCAGAAAAGCAAGCAGAAGTTTCATTACTTTTTAAATTTTAGAGAATACATTTCCTGGGTTTTTTTTTAGGGCTTAAATAGTAGCTAATGCAGTGTAGAGCTGCATACACATGCCTCACCTTTCTCAGGGAGATTTTTTATTTTTGTTTTTTCTTAAGACAACAGGCATGATTTCAGTTAACTAAGAACTTTACTTCTGATGAGGATTATAAATATGGAGAGTCACTTAACAATTCTGCCTCTAGTCTGGTACAGAATGTGCAAAGATTTGGGCCCAGGTAATATTTACCTGGCAAATAAGGAAATCAAACTGAAAGATATATGCCACACCCATCACTGCTGCTGGAAACTGGCCGGTGCATGGAAAGACAGTGAACTGAGGGCGTTATTCATGCCAAAGTCCTCTTGATTTTCCTGGCACATCACCTTATCTCTTTTTGAAAATACAAATTATTTGGCTGCAGCTCCTGCACTGAACCCACACTTTTTATCCTCCTAAAGACCTTCTCCAGCAAAAACCTTAAACATTTAATATGCGATCTCTGCAAAATGTAGGTAACAGAGTCTCACTCAGCAATTTTGAAAATCTCTGACCGCTGGGTACCAAAGCCCACGAGGGTCCATAAATCCTTCAGTTACAACTCTAAAGTGCCCTGGGCCCTACACATCCTGCTTTTGCAAGTGTCCTTGTTCTGAAAGAAAGAAAATCTTTGGTACCTACTGTGTATCTAAGCCAATCCAGATTCCAGTATGCAGATGTTTCCTCTGCCAAGATCAACAATGACAGCAATCAAAGTGTTTATGCCTAGGAGAAAGGGGAATTTCATGTACAGACGTTTTGTATAGCTAAGTTCTCTGTGAACCGACAGAAGGGCTCTAACAATTCCAGCATTCACGATAACTGTTTTCCTACCAATATGAGTTTTGTGGTCATACAGCATATTAAAACCTGTCTGGAATAATTATTTTTTTCTACACTTTCAGGAAGTGCATTTGAAGAATACAAGTAGAGGGAACACAGGAAACAGAAACTACAGAATGTAAGAACATGCCATCCACAAGAATGAAGAATGAATGTGCCATCTGCAGGATACTTTGCTGTAAATAAATTATTTGTTAAACATTGGAAGACTTAAAAAAAACCTATGGTTTAATAAGCTCGATGCAATCTCAACCAATGGGCATTCTCCCAGTGAACAATGCAACTAAACATTCCAATATTAAGTCTTTAGAGAACAGAACATTTTAACCAGCCCAGAGCTAAAAAATTCTGTGGTTGATATATTACTGTTTGTTAACCTGTTTTAAATGTCCTGCACAAAATCTCTTAAAGTCCTGTGCCCCTCAAAAGCCTACAAATTTATGGGCCTTTGATGGATCCAATTGCACTAAATTAACCTATGAACACTGGCTGCTGGAGTCATTCATCAGCCTTGTCTAAGTGGTGTTTTTTTTATTTGCACTTCTATACAAGTAACAGGCTGTTTGTTTTACAGTGTCTGATAACATTGTTTGTCTACCCCTTCATATTTGCACAGTTTGACATTCCCAGTAACAGCAGCAGTAAGGTAACATATACAGTTTTAAACATCCATTAATTCCATCTGTGGCATTTTGACAGAATATGGGTTATAGATGCATTTGTTTTAAGACAGTTTTATTTTTCCTTCTCTTGCAAAGATGCAGTTTATTGCAATTTGTAAGACAAAAGACTTTTAAAAGCAGTTAAAGCATACATAGGCTCTCAAACCATTAATGATTCTTCCAGGTAATTATTTTGCAACAGTATAGGTAACTTCTTTCTTCCTCCATATAATGCAGTATGTAAAATTTAGCATATCAATAATACACATATATCAAACAGTATGTAAAAATCTCTGTTTTATAGTACAACGGTGCTATTTTATAGTTTGTTACATGAAAGGGTCTGGCCAAAACAGTAATAGGTAAAAGCAAATTGAAAAGATCAAGCCAAAGATTAAATAACAGAATAGTTTTAAAAATATTCAGTTTAAATGAACTAAAATGGCTTCAGATTCCAACATGGAAGTAACTTTCCCATCTTCAAAAGAAAATTCAGATACTTGTTTCCTTTTAGATGATTGCATGGTGGTGTTTTCACTTAGCAGTAATGTGGAACACAAATTCATAGATGCCTAGGCCAGGAGAAGACAACTTGAAAAACAGCCCTCAAATGGTTTCAAAGGATAGCCCATCAGGGCCTAAAGCTTTCTGAAATATCAGCATTTTGTTCAAACTTACTTTGGGGTAAGTAACCCTTACTGAGGGTTACTCAAGCTCTCTGCCGTTTTAATTCTTCCCATAATCAGGTGTGACTAAACTGACTGTTAATCAGACTGCTGCATCTCTCTGTAAATCAGAAAAGCTAATCTAATCATCAAATTACAGTGTAGAAAGAGTCTTCAAGAAGAGATGAACTATAATGTCCTTCAAACTAATACTCACAATAGCTTTTCATGCACTCTTGTGGGAGACATATATTTCTGGATAATCTCTGCCATGTAACCTTGATAGGTACTGCACTGATTCTACCTTGAATAACACTGTGTCCTATGCTCCATTTCTGTAAATCAACTCAGTGCTAGACTGGCCGTGCAGTAAAGGAGGATAGGTAGCCAACAGTGTCCCAAGATGAGCAATAAATTTCTCAGTGAGAGAAGGGAAGAGAAGGCAGGGGAGAATGCACACTTCCATCCTGCCCAGAACTGCAACGTGGGTCCACTCGATTTCTTCCCCCCATCACGCTGCACACGGTAAGCTCAGACAAGGGATGAAGTATCCCTTGGTCAGCCCCAAAGAGGTCAGGGAGAATACTTTATGAAGGGAGCAATTAGGGAGATGTTACATGAGATCTGTAAAGGGAAGTATCTCTTTTTAAAAGTTAAAATCTGCCCTACTTGCTACTACATCCGTGGGAATAGATGACTAAACTATCGATTAAAACACAAGAGAAGAATCTCTGCAGACTGCATATCGTACAGCTCCCCAATAGTTTCTCGTGAAACAGACAGGAAAGGTAGGTCTTAAAAGTCTAACAAATTATTATAGTTCTTTATTTATTCCCATAGAAAATTTGGGTTTCGTATTTTTTCCAAGGGAAGTGCAATGTATTCCTATGCAGTTCTTTAAACCCTCCACTTTCTGTGAGATGCATGTTTATATGCACAATAGACTGCCATCGCAATGTAAAAGCAGAACAGTAAATGAATAAAAAGCATGTCACAGCTGTCACTGACTGAGATAGTTATGTTGAAAAAGGAAGAAAGTACAGAAAAACAGATGGGGAAACTAACCTAAATTATTTATCACCAATTCAATAAACAGCGGTAGCAATTCTGATATTTATCACAGCTCTTACAGGCCTTTTTTTGGCAGAGGGAGGGGAGAGGGAAGTATTTTTACTTCAATGGCTGTTAAGAATTCTGAAATGCATTTTAAGAATAAGCCATTATTTTGATGTCACAGGCATAATACATATTTCTATTTCATGTCCCACAACCCTTTCTGTCCCCTACCTCCTCTGAAGTTCTAAGGGGAGAAGGGAGGAAAGGTGTGAACGCAAAAAGCAATTTGCTGATCTCTGTGGTAGCAAGTTTCTTTGTAGATAATATTTTACTGATGTATTGTTAACATAACTGAATAACCATACATCATTGTGCTATTTAATTCCTGTAAGTTTACAGGAATTATCTTCAGATTCATGGGATTCATTTACATGGTCTTGTCTTGGGATTCATGCAGTCACATTCATGCCACCACATTTCTCCTGTTGAGAAATCGTCATTAGAAAATGTCACTCATAGACAACAATATCTAACACCAGAACTTGATTACTGTCTTAACAAATTAGAACAATTTTTGAAAGAAACTACAATAAATAATGAATAGCTACAAGCTTCAAAGGCAACGCTTTGCTTTACTAGAGAATAAATGGTATCACAAAATGAAGAGTAGCTCCACCACCGTAGAGGTGAGAAATGCATGGATGGGAAATGCATACTTGTATAAGAAATCCCAGTCATATGGCAGGGAGCACATGATATACCAGTCAGTGTGAAAGATAAAGGGCTGCATTAGCTTAATAATCTCAATAAATCCTACTTAAAGAAGTTGAAGCATGAGCCAAAACATCTCCCTCCCAAAAGTACAAAGTAGTCTGACCTGAAAAACTTCTAATTAGAGAAATTGAAGGGTTCAGCTGGATTTTCAAAAGCACTCCAGATACTTAGGAACAGGTCTCCCACTGGATGCCATTGAGTCTCATAAATCACTTAAGTGTTAAAGGAAATCCCACTCCCCATCCTTCCTTATCATGTAAATCACATGACAGAAGTCACAGATTTTTGCATTCTAGGATAGACATAAAACTCCAATTATTACACAGAATGTCACCGAAGTGCAGAAATAAGAAAGTGAATTAAACCTCATTATTTTCAGTTAGTTCAAAAAGGACTACAGATCTAAACCCACTGAAGTTAATATATCTCTTTCATCAAGGTAGCAAAATTTGAGCCTCATCTCCATAGTAACCATAATTAATCATTAAGAGTTTAAATGGAAAATGAATAAATTCTATATTCTGCTCAAAATGTACTTACAAACCTACACTTACATTTGTGTGAAAGACTTGTATGAGGCTCATTTGTACCATTCAGTGAAGAAAGAAAAGAAAATCAAATAACAGGATACTGTGTTCAGTCCCTGTAGATACATTAAAGTAGTCACCTTTTGCCCAATACAGATTACAGTGTCAATTCCTTTTTTAAAATTAAAGGACAAATTAGTGGTAGGCTTTCTTTACAGAATTGAATTCCATACACAACTAGTAACTGTGTTCGGTTGCCCCATCAGCTGGTTGTTGACTTAGTATCAATGGTTAAAGTTGATTAATGAAGACCCTAGGCCAAACACTGTGTCTTCTTGACTTTCCATTTTAACAAGCAAGTGCATGATAAGACGAGTTCAGAAAAGTGTATGCATATTTGTTTTACCTGTTACTGATTTGGCCAACAATGCCAAAGTGGTGCTATTGTTTTGTTTAAGAAAGTACTTGACTAAAATATAAAAGAAAGCATAAATATTTTTTTAATGTATGAAAATGACAATTATATAGGTATGGTTATTAAAATAGAAATACAACTAGCCATAACTTCAACTTTTTGTCACTTAGCAATGGCAAAGAAATCTTAAATCAATGGAGATGGGGCAGGAATAAGAGTCAAAATGCCACAAAAATTCATAGACTTGAAATGCAATTCTGAATCTTTACTCCAAGTCAGAAATACAGATGAAGAAAAGCATTTAAAGTCAGGGAACAATGGATATGACTGAAAGCCTGTTCAGATTAATGCAAGCCCTATATCATACCAAAGATTTTTAAGCCACACTCTAGCCTGAAATCAGTGTAAAGTTTGGCTTAAAATCAGTGGCATGATATGATCAAGATTTTCATTGAGCATACATTTTTATTTTTACCTGATTACCTTCTCATTCATGGCATGCCCCCCAAAAGTCAATATTCTTTAAAAAAAAAACACAAAGAAAAGCATCTGATTTTAACAAGGAATGAAAAAATAAATATTCCTAAGATGAAACTGATGCTATTTTTAATTCTCACTGGTTTCAAATTGTGAGAAAAAGTTGAAATATATGGCTAACAGTCTGTGAATTTTTTTTTAACTTTATGTGGTCACTATGAACATCCTAATGTGCAAAATTTCACATTTCATTGTTTTGTTTTTATGGTAAGTTAAGCCCAAATAGAGATTCTTGGAACCTATAGGCTAGATAGAATACTTATGTTCTGATGAAGGTATAATCAATATATTTAAAATGTTTTATTTTTAGTCTGAAAAGGAATAGTAATAATTTATTTGGGGACTCAACCTATACTGGTCCCCCTTTTAAGGATACTGTTCAGTGCAAACAAGTCTTCCCAACGCCAAACTTCTATTCAAAACCAACATTCATTCCTCCCTCTCCCTCCCCCCAGCAAAACTAGTTAAAAGACTATTGCAACATAATTTTGTTGTTTGTCTGTTTGTTTTGGGGGGTTGTTTTGTTTTGCTTTACTTTGTTTTGATTTGGGGGGCAGGGGTAAGGAGGAGGAGATGAGGCTTTCAAGTGATTAAGATTTTTTCCTCTCGGGTACAATCCACAAAAAATAAAGAATTTGCCTTGATGAGATTATTAATTATCCAATTCATGTGTGGAAATAGCATTAAGTAAAGCAACTAGATTAAAGTTGTCTTGAAAGAAGGGAAAAAAGTTATTAACACAAAGTTTTTACTCATTCTAATCCTACACTATACATTTTGGTTCTCACAGCATTGGAATGTTCTACTGGACTATAACTGTCTGAACACACAGTATCTGATATATATA